ACTCAATTACTTTAATATTAAAATTATTTTTTTATTTCATCTGAGGTTAATATATAGACAAGACTTATTTTTTTATGACTTTATATAGGGATTTGTCAAAGTTTATTTTATGTATTTACTCAGGTTATTTGTACAATTGTTGATCTTTCAAATTTTAATATTGGCAAGATTGATGTATACTTTATAGAAATATAGGAAAATGAAATTGGCATTATAACTTATAAGCATATTGGTTTAATGTCAGAATGTATAAGTTTGTACTTACAAGCTTACAAACAGCTGTATACATTGGTCACATTTGTGATAAACTTAGAAACAAAATATTCATTATTAAACCACAATTCTAAAATGAATGCAATCGATAATATTATTTCTATATATATAAACTGTTTGTGCGAGTTTTAGTCAGTTTTTTCCCCCAAAAGCCTGGTAAGCGGCCCTTCCTGTGGGAATACCCTAATTTTGGGGGAAAATAATATGGTATTATTGTAAAAGGGGAAAACTTTGTCAATTCAATTTTTGGGAAAAATTGCATTATTTTAAAGAAATTATCTTTGGGGAGCCACCCTTGAACAGTCCCTGCTATAGAACTTAGAAGGAAAAAAAGCTTTGATAATGTAGCCTCCATATTGTGTTTCCAGATTTACATAATACAGTATAGTATAGTTGTTGGGCTGTATGACATCAGTTGGAAAAAGCAAAGTCAGGATTTTTAGCCATATTTAGATTCAACACAATGTAAAGATGGAGGCCAAAGTATTAAAATCTCTGTAGGTCAGGTAGTCAATTAATTCTTATATAGTGACAGAAAGCCTTGTTCAAACAATATATTTCCATTTATTTGACAGCAATATAGCTGTTTCCTGTAACATACTGTTTACAAAGGATGCGGCAATTCATATACTATACAATGATATCCCATGCGAACAATCCCGTCTGCACTTCATTAAAATACAATAGTTACAGTCAATACTTGTGTACAGGTGCTTCAGTTGTTTATTGGTCTGTATACATTATTAGATAAATCCAAGTTCTATGAGACCAGTCCATGAATGTTATTTGAATAATTAAAGTAGAACCGTTCTTAATATGGGAAAATAAATATTGGATGTAACTAAGTGGTACGCCCATCGCTGGTTGCTAATATTTATTGTTAGCCTAACATCACTTGTGTACTTTAAAAACTTAAGTTATGGAATATTAAATACAGCTCTCTAAATTAAAGTCCGTATTTAAAACAGTTAAAGGAGGTGGTTGAAATTTCTTGATGATAATTCTATTATGTACACATTTATTTCGGTTATGATTGTGTAATGTTAAGAGGTAGATGTTCAAAAGGATTTATAAACAAAAGGTAAACATAATGGATTTAAATAGGCATTCTTTGGCCATTTTGGCAAATGCAGGAACATAGTATTAATATTGTTTTCCATGAATTTGAGAAGGAAAAAAATATAAATGTTCGCCTTTTTTAATCTGCTGCATGGAAAGATGTTGGCCCTATTGCCTAAAAAGAATTGTTTTCATTTAAGTAGTTCTATAGAAGCAAAGTTGTTTACTGCACAGTGTGTTTTTCCCCCTACTATGCGAAGTGGTAGTGGCACTGCATGGTTTCCTCGATTTGTGAGACAGGACTGGTGTGATTTTTTGTTGAAATTGTCAAGATTTAGTTCAATGTCCCTAAAAAAATGGGATATTGACATTATTTGCGAAAAATAATTTACAACTCCAGGATGATTAAAACAAAGCATTTAATTGAGAAATTTCAACCTGAAATGTTTATATAACTCTGGTTTCATCAACTTCACTGTTTTAGGAGGTGACTGAAACTGTTTTGTTGCAATCATCAAAGAAATTTTTTTATTGTAAAAGTGGCATTTCTTAGATTTGTGAAGCTGGCACTTTGGAATTATGAATTGGCTTTCTTCAAATTGTGAAATGGCCCCTGTTATGTAGTGTAAAAACCCCTGACATTGTCTTTAAAAGCTTGTTAAATACTTGATTTTATTTTTAATAAAAATAATGCTTTTAATTAAAACATGTACCAGGATTAGGTACATATATATTTCATTTTTAGCTCGACTATTCGAAGAATATGAGAGCTATTGTAGTCGCCCCGGCGTCGGCGTCAGCGTCCGCGTCGGCGTCTGCGTTGGTTAAAGTTTTTTGTAAATTCAAATATCTCAATTATTGCTTGAGATATTCAATTGAAACTTACAATACTTATTTATAGTAACAATGTACATCAGATTGACAAGTTGTATAACTCTACCTACAATATTGACAGAATTATGCCCCTTTTTAACTTAGAAATTTTGGTTAAAGTTTTTTCTAAAGTCAAATATCTCAATTATTGCTTGAGATATTCAATTGAAACTTGCAATACTTATTTATAGTAACAATGTTCATCAGATTGACAAGTTGGATAACTCTGCCTACAATATTGACAGAATTATGCCCCTTTTTAACTTAGAAATTTTGGTGAAAGTTTTTTTTAAATTCAAATATCTCAATTATTGCTTGAGATATTCAATTGAAACTTGCAATACTTATTTATAGTAACAATGTACATCAGATTGACAAGTTGGATCACTCTACCTACAATATTTTCAGAATTATGCCCCTTTTTAACTTAGAAATTTTGGTTTATGTTTTTTGTAAATTCAAATATCTCAATTATTGCTTGAGATATTCAATTGAAACTTGCAATACTTATTTATAGTAACAATGTACATCAGATTGACAAGTTGGATAACTCTACCTACAATATTGACAGAATTATGCCCCTTTTTAACTTTAGAAATTTTGGTTAAAGTTTTTTGTAAAGTCAAATATCTCAATTATTGCTTGAGATTTTCAATTTAACCTTACAATACTTATTTATAGTAACAATGTATATCAGTTTGCAAAATCGCATAACTCTGCCTGAAATTTTATGCACTTCTTTGAGAGCATAATAGGACTCTCCCAAAGACCTTTAGCCGAAACGTGGATTTAAAGAAAAATTTGGCCATTTTGTTAATTTAGAAAATGTTACATTATCAAGGCTCTTTTAATATCAAACACTTAGAATAGTCGAGCATGCTGTCCTACCGACAGCTCTTGTTATTACTCGCTCTTTCATTTATTTTAAATGTGAACAATAATATGTTTGTGTTTTACTGTATTGCTCGAAAATTTAATGACACGTTAATGAAAAATCAACTTTTAATAATACAGGTATTGTGTTCTAAAGAATAATAATTATTAGGTCTAACAGTTACTTGCAAGCTGGTTTAAAATGTAAAAGTCTCATTTATCGGCTTGAAATAATGAAATAGTTTGTATTTTTATCCAACATTGTAAGATAAGTTATCGGGTTTTAGATTTTATTGCACTGAGTGTATAGGTAATTTGAGATATTTGCAGTATTGATTAGGTCATAGGATATAATTTAGAACTTTTTTTATAATGTATGCCTTAATATATAAAGGAAGTTTCTATTTTTGTGCAGTTCATGTTTCGGTACTTTAGAAATACATGTAACAGTTTTAATCTTTATACATACATGCATGACCTTTGTGTGTTTTATTCGGAGTTTTTAGTTTTACTTTAACCCTAATACCATGCTAAATGTATTAAATGGACTTGTCTGTCTTTCAAAAACCATTTATCAATTTAAAGGAAAATTTCAAAATGATTACAGACAGGATAGCAAATAGTTGTTCTAGTATTTGACCAATGACTTTTTGGAAACTATCAAAGTAGTCACCAAAATTAAACAGCTTTTGAGAAATTAAAATAAAAACATTATCCTATGCATAATGGCATATTGGGTCTTAAGAGTTGATTACACAGTTGCAAAGTTAATACATGTATTAAATGTCAATGCTCTGTCAATTTGTTTAACCATTTACCATGATGACACCAAAAGTGATTAGTTTTTGACAACAGTATAGGAACAGGCCACTATGTACTAATCTGCAGTCTGACCAAGCTTAGCCTAACTTTTACAATTTCATCTTGATATGAATCCCCATGCATATTGATAATCAGCAGTTTCAAAATATGTAAGCTGAACTAGCCCATAGGTTGACATGGTGTAAAGCTATAAGTGCTGATATTACTTTAAAAATCTATTTTTAACCCATTGCTTCATGAGCATTTTGTGAAAAATGGCTGTTTTCATTGAAAAGTCTCCCGTTACAAGTTCAAATTGCTATAATACTATAAAAACTGCTTCAACACTAATCAAACTTGGCACAAATGTTGACTGGACCATTGTCCTTGCAACAACATGCTCAGACTTAAATTTTCTGTTACCATGGCAACGAGGGGACATCTCAAAATTGCCAAAAATCACTATTTTGCGTTGATTTTTTCCATCAAAATTGATTTCAAAGTGCTGCAACTTATCAATGGATTGAGATAGAGTCAAATGCTTTTCAGCGTTGGTTACACGTTACCTTATGATCAATCTGGGGTCATTTACAGCCTCTCACAAGTCCAAAATTTTCTTGGCGATGAGGGGGACTCCGCCCCCCTTCAAACCCCCCAAAACAGAAGGGGGCACATCCCCCTTCTGGCAACCCCCTGATGTATCTTTTGGTTGGGGGGCCGCGCCGAAAAAGAGCTCAATTTTTTTAACAACATTTCTTAAACAAAAACAAGTGTTTAGGGCCTAAATAAGGCATTTTTTCATCATTTGAGACAACAAAAAGGGGGGGGGGTGAAAAAGGCGTTAAAAGGCGTGTATATGAAGTAATGGGTTAAGTAACATTTTCATATTTTAATCTTCTTATCTGATAAGAGTGTTAGTAAAAAGTGTCACTGTTATTATCAGTAAGAGTATTGAATATAGGAAAAACAAAACACAATGTCACCTAACAACAACAACAACAACAACAAAGATACAATAATGGGAATAAATTATATACTTATTATTAATTATGCTATGCAGGGACTGTATATAATGATGATTAATGAAATAACTTAAAAGTTGCTATTTTGATTATTTACAGATATCAAGAAATAAAAGATTACAGTAGGAGGATTGGTAGAAACAACTAGAGGCTGGTATCTTCTAGGGTTTCTTTTTTCATCACTTTCCGGATAATTTTCAAGAAATTGCTACAATGTAGCTGTGGATTTTATTGAACCCAAAGTTTCAAAGAGTTGATAATGGTTAAATGGTTGGATAGTTGTTCAAGTCACTAACAATTTGAATGTAAATGCTGACTTAGGAACTGAGGAACTTGCCTAAGGTTTGATGTTTACCCTTTTTTAAGGGCTGGAATAGTGTATAGGAAAATGAGAGAGATGCAAAATGGAAATTCGCAATCACTGTCGCAAGGGGGTATGAGTGACAACAATCAAAACGGGCTTGATGAGGAGGCAGATAAGAAGGTCACACCATATGAGAGGCTGTCACAAGATCTCAGTAACGATCCTAGAGTCCTGAAGGAGATCACGCTCGGAAAAAGGATTGGGTTTTATAGAATACGAGGGGAGCTCGGAAGTGGCAACTTTTCACAAGTCAAGATGGGAATTCATGCTCTAACAAAAGGTACAGGGTTGTTTTGAAAATATATTTTTTTTAAAAATTGTCATTTCTTGGTCTTTTTCTGCACTATAAAAAAATCACTTTTTATCTACAAGTGAGATAGACCAAATATTTTAGCAGGCCTTATGGTTTAAGATTTTAGAGTGAATGGGAAAGTAAAAAAAATCATCTCATAGTATAAAATGAATAGAATGAATTTTCTTATTAATATATAACTTGAATAAACCTTTGCCATGCTCTTAAAATTGTATCAAATTATCACTATAGAGTCTTGTCATGCTGCAGGAAAATTTAGCCTGGCCTTGCTCTTGTCAGTCTGTAGGGAAGCTCAGGCTGACCTGGCTCTTGTCAGGTTAGCCTGGCTCTTGTCAGGTTGCAGGGATATTGAGGCTGACCTGGCTGTTGTCAGGCAAAGAGATATTCTGGCTGATCTGGCTGTTGTCAGGTTAGCCTGGCTCTTGTCAGGTTGCAGGAATATTCAGGCTGACCTGGCTGTTACCAAGCTGTAGGGATATTCAGGCTGACCTGGCTCTTGTCAGGTTGGCCTGGCTGTTGTCAGGTTGCAATAATATTCAGGCAGGTCTGGCTGTTGTCAGGTTGATCTGGCTCTTGTCAGGTTAGCCTGGCTCTTGTCAGACTGCAGGGATATTAAGGCTGACCTGACTGTTGTCAGGTTAACTCGGCTCTTGTCAGGCTACAGGGATGTTCAAGCTAGCCTGTCTCTTTACTAGTGGCTAAGTAGTGGAGCATGTTATTGTTGCTGCTAGAAAACTAATATCTGTCTAAATGAATGAGTAAGTAGTCTCATTTGTAAAGTCTGAGTGCATCAGTAACGATGCAAGTCTCTGTACAGGTGTAGCATATGTGTTTGATGTCATTATAGAACCATATAGGTTCTGTTGGCATGAGTTATGTAACCCTTTAATTTCCTGGTATTATTACCTACCTTAATAAATAATAATGTTACCAGTGTAATACTAGACTAAACATCTGTGCAGTCTACCCTACTTCTATACCTTCAGCTGTTCAATGATCAAATTCTTATATTAATAATTTATTAAAGCAGACCATGTTTATTATACAAATCAATCTCAGCTAAAATATATTTATATACAATATTATTATAATAAAACTATATGAATACATAGTCACTAGTGTTGTGACTGTTTTTGTCAGTTTCTATGCAATTGACTAAATTTTCAATATAGGGCATACAAATACTTTATAAGGCAGTCCCACATGTTCCTATACAACTATGCTTTCATTAAAACATCAAGATCAATAGCAGAAGAATTGGCTTTGTTAACCTGGTAATGGGATCCATCAGCAATTAATCTTGTATCAGTAATTAGTAGCCATTAGCTCATTACAACTTAGAAACATCTGATACAGTTTTATATGAAAGGTTAGGCAAAAAAAAAAAGGTTCTGTTTTACCTAAGTTGTTATTCTTATTTTTTTATTTGCCTACCTTAGACTTCTTCCAAATATAAAATTACAAAAATTGCTGCCCTTTAATCATTTTTATTAGCTCGACTAGGTAGAGGTATTGCTATAGTCGCGGCGGCGTTGCCGTTTCCGTCTGCAAACTTGTACCTGGATCATAATTTTTTTTTATTTCTTGGTGTATTGTCTTCATACTTGGCCACAACAACCCTTGGGACAAGACCTTTCAGTAGACCACACTAACCTTGACCTTCTTCCATAAATGACCTTGACCTTCAAGGTTAAAAGTCCAAATTTTGCTTGTTAATGCTGTTATTGGCTGTAACTTTGTTATTTTTGAATGGATTTAGTCTTCAAACTTGAACATAATAATCTTCAAGGATATCCCTTAAAAATAACCAGACAGATCTGACCTTCACTCATAAATGACCTTGTTTTTCTTATTTTGAAAAATGGGGTGAATAGGTTGTGGAGACCAGAAACAGAACTGGTTTTTTTGTGATGGGGGTCCTCTTTTTTAAATTAGCTAGTAGAATCTTAAAGCAAATTAAGGCAGACCTCCTCAGGTAAATTAACAAATTTTAGTAAAAAAATCCAAAAGATTATTTATTTTAAGAACTACATCATGTTTATTGATGTGGTCACAGGTCAAGTGACTTTTTGCATGTTTTTGTCAGATACAAATGAATGTTCTACTTAAACCACCATATTTCTATCTTGTTTAATAGTGAAGAAAGGTTTAAGGGCTTAATAATAATTTCAGCTTTAATATTTGGACACAATTATTCACTATCAGTAATACTATGGATAGTAAGTGTCAAAGGTTTGCTAAAGTTTTTTATTTGATCAGGTGATATTTTTACTGGTTGGGGGTGGGGGTGGTGGTGGGGGGTTAACTAAATGTCAATAGTTCTTAGCCTGGATTAGGATAGATACTTCTTTAAATTTACATTTCTGTTTGTTTCTTGCTGTGCCGAAAAATTCATTGAAAGATTTGATTATACAAATGCCAGTACCAGGTGAAGAAATCTAAAATATTAATGTTAACATATTGTGTGATCTATTTTAATTAAATATATATTTATGCGTCACTTTTAAGGAATGCACATGTATTGATTGTCTGGTAGTGCTTTTTCAGATAAATAATAAGATTTAGATTTTCAACCAAACTTGAATAATTATTTTGGGAAAGGAAGGTTGAGGCACAATATTCACAATAGTAACATATATTTTTATTTTATTTATAAGGAAAATACTAGTGCATGCCTGATTTTGAGCCTCCGCCCACAAAAATTAAACAAACTGATCTTAAATGTTACAGTAACTTACTGTAAATACCTATTTAACCCTTAACTTGCTGGAATCAAAAGTGATTATTCTTTGTCACCAGTAAAGAGCCAGGCCAGCCTCCATATCCATGCAGTCAGACCAGGTGCTATACTATCACCCTACCAACCTTTCATCTTGATATCCCCGTACATTGTAATGAATTGTTCAAAAAATTGGAGCCTGAGGCAGGTCAGAAACTCAGCAGGTTAAGTTACACTTCATAAAATAACAATGATAAAGTTATATATAAATTACAGAAAAAGTTGCCATCAAGATACTGGACAAGACGAAGTTAGACCAGAAAACACAAAAACTTTTGTCACGAGAAATCTCGAGTATGGAGAAACTTCATCATCCGAACGTGATCCGGTTATACGAGGTAATAACTCATCTCATTGATAGAAACATTTATGATGCATCATTGATACTTTTCTGTTGATCTAATATTGAAACAGATTTGTAAAAATCAGACTGATTTTGAAACTGTCAGTTCTGAGTTATGATTGATGAACTTTGTGAAATACATGTAGATAGTTATTTATCAATTGTTTCCAGAATGATTTTTCAAAAAGATAACAAAATCTTTAAAAAGCATGTGCTCTTTCAAATAGGACTAAAGTCTAATTTAGTAATTCCATCACTACTCCTAGTGATATTTCACGTATTTCACCAATAAAAGGCCTCTTCCTTGTTGCAATATTTCTTTAAGATTATAAAGATTTCCTAAAAATCTGAACATACACTTTTTTTCACTTCCCAATAAGCAATTTTAGAGATATTTTTGCTTCAATAAACAAGAGGTAAGTGCTGCTGTGTATTTGTGTGATATTGATACATGTATTTCATTTTGTTGTTATATGAAAGTCCTTTTATAACCCACTTATTTGAAGAAAAAAAAATAAAAAAATAAAAAAAAAATGACATTTGAGAAAAGTTTGTCTCTGTTTTGTAGAGGAGAATCAAATGATCAGAGCTTGTGGAGTAATTAGATATGATTTGTTTTATAGGTGGTAGAGACATTAGCCAAATTACATATTGTAATGGAGTATGCTGGGGGCGGAGAACTATTCACTCGTATCTCTAACGAGGGCAAACTTCCAGAACCCGAGGCTAGGCATATCTTCTCTCAAGTTGTTGCAGCCATGGAACATTTGGTGCGTATTTTGTACAAGTTCATTCTTCAATGGATTGCAAGATTTCCTGAATGAAATAGTCTTACTGAAATCAATATTAAATTACCTTAGTGCAACAACAGGTTAATAATTCCTTTTAAATTCAGTCAACCCGTTACTGCACTAAGGTCATGTTGTGATAAATATTTGCATATTTGCCAATAGTAAAGAGGCTTATCAAGCTGCATTGTTATGCAAGGCCTAGCCTTAATTTATACTGGTTGCAAAGGCTATATGAACTTAAGGTTGATAGTTAAAGATAATCCCTGGAATTTTATTTTTCTGAGGGTCTTTCTAACACAAGAGGACACATTTGTTAAAATTTACAACATGTCTTACAGACCAGACATCCTGCTTTACTAATATTTGTTATTCTTTTGAAGAACTTGCAAGTCACCAGAAGTCTTAGAATACAAGTGATGACTAAAGTATCTAGCATATTGAAAAAATGGCCAGCAGGCTTCACTTAATGAAACACTGATCAGCTTGTCCTGATTGATGTTTGAAAATAACCAATAGGGATATATTTACCTTGTCTTTTGTTACATGTTTAAAATTAAATTAAGGCGTTTTGTAATTGTCGATAGCTTGAAATTTTGTTAGTAAGCTTAGGTGGATACATAAGTCTTATTGTCTGGAATTATTTTTACGCAATAGCCCCCTTGAACTTTGACTTACGAGAGTTCTAATGTATATAGAAAACGGGTTTTTAACATGCATGTTTGAAAGCAAACAATATAATCATCAAGTCAAGTTGTTTTATTTCTCGGCATTGATGTGTTGTTGTGGCATATACATATTTTATTAGATGACCAAAGTACTCTTGATTTCAAGCAGAAGTGCCACATTAATACAAAATTAATGAAAATGTTGCGCTTTAAGTCGCCATACAGACAGTCTTATGTTGTCTGAGTGATGAGGTTCCTTAAAAAAATGAAATTAATGATCTGTGATTTACCTAACATAGTCGTTTATATGACATTGACAAATTGTTTATCAAAGTCAGGATTAGATAAGTTATACAATTGCTAGTTTGAATGAATTTATTTCTTTTTTTCATTCTGAATAGGGTTGTTATCTCATTTTATTTAGTAGAAGAGTTCTACTGTCAGTTTGGGAAGCATAATTATTTATTTATTTTAAGTAGGATGGTTGTTCATACTAAATGTGCCAGGAGTTTTCATATAGACATATAGGCAGAATGAAAACTGTTCAATGGAATTTCTTTAAACTTGGCATGTTGTTAGAATGTGATGACAGAAATATTTTGAACACAAAAAGTTTATACCACTATCAATGGTAAAAATTACCACTAACATGGTATACCTGAGCACAATAATGTTATACCTTACCATTTTAGTGTTATACCTTTCCACTTTAATGGTATACATTACTGTATGCATATAGCTAATAGACGGGGCATTGGAACATGAGGCAATCTGATTTGTACAGATTATGAATCAGATTGCCAAGTGTTTTGATGTTCAGTCTTTTGTATCATCAGCAAAAATAAAACCACTCCGTCTCGTCCCAGTATAATTCCCCAACAATTGAAACCAATGTACAAGCATCTGAAAATAATATTTTTATTATTGTCTTGTTCTTTGTCGTCACAATAATTGAACCCCTGGAAAAAAATGTCAATTGCCGACAATTGACAAATAGTGCAGTAATCGGAGTGCAGGTAAATAATACCTGCACTCCAGTTAATGCACTCTGCATCATGGGTATACAATTTTAACTCTTGACACATTATGAATAGAAAGGTCTCCAAACTATGATAAAATATTGGAATGGCCTTACCTGACTATAATGGCCGAATGAATTATAAATACATGATAATAAATTTTTGAGAAAACATCATACAATATTGATCTTCTTTCGTAGAGTCTGTTGTTAAATGTAACGAAACACAATAATTAACAGATTTAATGAAGGCTTGTTAATGATCGTGGAATTTTTGTGAACAATAGAAACAGAGAAAAAAAACTTTAAAAAAAAGCACTTGATGTAAAAAAACGATTAGCAATTAGGTCAATTAGTAAGGTTAATCTTGTTGGGAGATAAGTGCATTTAAACATAACACAGACATAACAGTAAATTGATTCCTTCTTTACAAATTCTCTTATATAATTGTCACATATAGTGCACTCTTAACTGTATTTCTAGGAATTTAAGTATTGAATTTCAAAGCTAGGATCGTAAAGTTCATTTTGTGGTGAGATGTCACCAAGATACATAATCATACATGTAAATATAAGCTATAGCTTTTAGTGTTGTAACTGTGTTTCATATTACCAAATAAGGTAAAATTTCTCGTGTTTTTTTTTTGTCTTTCAACAAAAAAGAAATAATAGCGTTTATTGCCCTACTGGAAACCTATATTGTCTTATAAGAATGGTAATTTTCTTGAAATCTTTTTCTCAGCAATTTTCCTTTTTAGAATAATCACCGGTTCATTATTAATTGTGCATGACAGTCCATCTGAGAAAGATATTGAATAATTTTGAGTTTAAGCATGATGAATCAAAATTTCTACCCCTAATTTGAAGTTAAACAATGTAACAAGAATTAAATATGTTTATGTGAGCATTAAAGTTATCAGTTAGCACTAGTTCTACTCAGGTATCTTATGTCCTCCTTCCCAAATAAAACAGTGCTGATGGAGTGTTTAAGGTCGTTGACTTCAAACCACTTGCCTTTCACCGATGTTACTAAGGTTTAATTCGCGCCAGTGTCTCCGAATTCTTTCATGTGAGAAAGCTCTCCAACTAGCTAACGGAACATTGGTGGTTCTACTCAGGTGCCCTTTTTAGTCTGAAATAAATTTACAAAGGAGCACATGAGGTCTTCATCCACAGTAAAAGTTGACAGTCACCACATGACTGTGACGTAAAACCCGACCAACCAACCAACCCCAAAAAAGCTTGGCTGTGTCTCCTTACTGCAAAATATATACCTTGAATACTATTAGATAATATTGTATATTATATAGACATGATGTTTCTCGCGAATTGTTGTAACGAGATCAATATTCTCACAGTAGTCATTACCACCAATCTAGAACGCTTAAACTTAATCATGATACTCTGTGATACATGATAAAACATGATGGGAGAATGTAGAAAAAATAGGGCATAATGATAATGACATACTAGAAATGATAATTGACATGGGTTTTACAATGACGGTAAGATAATGTAGAAGACATTGTGAGCAAATTCATTATAAAATTATAATCATGACAGCAAAATTATCAATCATGACAGCAAAATTATCAATCTGGACAAAAAAATATCAATCATGACAGCAAAATTATCAATCTCGACAGTGAAATTATCAATAATGACAGCAGAATTATCAGTTCTGCTAAATATTATACGAAATTATAAGAAAACAGAAATGTGTTAAAGAAGATTAGACCTAAGATTGGTTAAATAATATTGATTGTGTAATTGATTGGACTTGTTGCTGTAATCTGAAAATGGAAGACATTATCTGACATGAAGACAAAATCTGACATAAGAAGTTATCGTAGGTACTTGGCAGTCATTGATCGCTATAAAGCTAATAGTTGCCAAGGTGTACTACTCAATGATTTTTAGATAGTGCTTATTATAAAAGTGATATTCAGGTCATGTCTGTGAATCAATGATTTCAAGGTGAAAAGATTAGCACTGATTCATTACCTTGATTTTGTTTTCATTACCATGAATTACACTTTCTCTCTTTAATTAGACATCAGATTTATCATTTTTGATTTCTTAACTAGGGAATTGTTTAGTTCAAGTCAGTTTCTAGATTATGCTGGAAGTTCATACTTTTGTTTCTGATCTTCTTATTGGAGAAATTCATCTATTTGGTTTTGAGCTAATTGGAATCACCCAGTATCAAATGTCTGTGGTATATTATATTGTTTGTGTTTTGCTACAAACAACATTTTCTTTCCTAACCCCTCGGATGATTGTAATGAAACTGCACAGAGGAATGATCTTTGATTGGTTTGCTACATTAAGGAACATAATAAATATTACTATTGTCTGCTTTAATAAGATAGCGAAAGATTGTCAATAAAGTATAGTTTACGTAATTTATGTTAAAATATGGCTTCAATTGTGTGGTGGCCCTTGAATAAGAATGAAAGTTATTAGAATAGGCAAAAATATATAAATGAGCAAAATAAGGTATAAACCAAATAGTTATTGTAACCAAGAAAAGTTCACAGAACCAGTTATAGATCTTAAAAATACATGTATGAGAAAATGATGAATTTTTCATTTAAATGAAAACATATTTCGCCTGCACTGCTCATCATATTGTGATGCTCAGGCTATTTTATCAATGTTCTTTAATATTTATTCATTTTCCGACGTTGAGTACGAATATTGCTGAGTACGAACCATCGCATTGTTTTGATGATTACTTTCTATGTAACTGCTTTTATCTCACATTATTATGATTTTCAGAGGCCATTTGTATATATAAATGTTTATTATCTATTCTTAAATGCTGACATACGTTTATTTTCATGTAATCTTGCTTAATATTTGGTCACATTTCTGAATTTGCCACTGGTCGGCCATTTTGAATATTAATGTGATGACGTCACAGGGTACTATAAATACTGCGCGTTAGCATATCGTTGTCATCTCATATCAGGTCGTCTGGTAGAAAAGTACTCTACGGAGTAGATAATTGTAGACGATTAAATAACCGAAAATGGATAGGATACAGGTGAAATTCACTTGTTATACCCCCGCACAACAAAGTTGTAAGGGGGGTATACTGGAATCAGCTTGTCCGTCCGGCCGTCCGTCCGGCCGTCCGTCCGGCCGTCGGTTTTTTCTTGTCCGCCCAATAACTTAAGATTCCTTTGACCCTTAGTCTTCATATTTGGCATGGAGGTTAGTCATGATAAGTAGATGACCCCTATTGATTTTGAGGTCACTAGGTCAAAGGTCAAGGTCACAGGGGCCTTGACTTCAAAAAGCTTGTCCGCCCAATAACTTAAGATTCCTTTGACCCTTAGTCTTCATATTTGGCATGGAGGTTAGTCATGATTAGTAGATGACCCCTATTGATTTTGAGGTCACTAGGTCAAAGGTCAAGGTCACACAGGGGCCTTGACTTCAAAAAGCTTGTCCGCCAATAACTTAAGATTCCTTTGACCTACAGTCGTCATATTTGGCATGGAGGTTAGTCATGATAAGTAGATGACCCCTATTGATTTTTGAGGTCACTAGGTCAAAGGTCAAGGTCACAGGGGCCTTGACTTCAAAAAGCTTGTCCGCCCAATAACTTAAGATTCCTTTGACCCTTAGTCTTCATATTTGGCATGGAGGTTAGTCATGATTAGTAGATGACCCCTATTGATTTTGAGGTCACTAGGTCAAAGGTCAAGGTCACAGGGGCCTTGACTTCAAAAAGCTTGTCCGCCCAATAACTTAAGATTCCTTTGACCTACAGTCGTCATATTTGGCATGGAGGTTAGTCATGATAAGTAGATGACCCCTATTGATTTTGAGGTCACTAGGTCAAAGGTCAAGGTCACAGGGGCCTTGACTTCAAAAAGCTTGTCCGCCCAATAACTTAAGATTCCTTTGACCCTTAGCCTTCATATTTGGCATGAAGGTTAGTCATGATTAGTAGATGACCCCTATTGATTTTGAGGTCACTAGGTCAAAGGTCAAGGTCACAGGGGCCTTGACTTCAAAAAGCTTGTCCCGCCCAATAACTTAAGATTCCTTTGACCTACAGTCCGTCATATTTGGCATGGAGGTTAGTCATGATAAGTAGATGACCCCTATTGATTTTGAGGTCACTAGGTCAAAGGTCAAGGTCACAGGGGCCTTGACTTCAAAAAGCTTGTCCGCCCAATAACTTAAGATTCCTTTGACCTTAGTCTTCATATTTGGCATGGAGGTTAGTCATGATTAGTAGATTGACCCCTATTGATTTTGAGGTCACTAGGTCAAAGGTCAAGGTCACAGGGGCCTTGACTTCAAAAAGCTTGTCCGCCCAATAACTTAAGATTCCTTTGACCTACAGTCGTCATATTTGGCATGGAGGTTAGTCATGATAAGTAGATGACCCCTATTGATTTTGAGGTCACTAGGTCAAAGGTCAAGGTCACAGGGGCCTTGACTTCAAAAAGCTTGTCCGCCCAATAACTTAAGATTCCTTTGACCTTACAGTCTTCATATTTGGCATGGAGGTTAGTCATGATTAGTAGATGACCCCTATTGATTTTGAGGTCACTAGGTCAAAGGTCAAGGTCACAGGGGCCTTGACTTCAAAAAGCTTGTCCGCCCAATAACTTAAGATTCCTTTGACCTACAGTCGTCATATTTGGCATGGAGGTTAGTCATGATAAGTAGATGACCCCTATTGATTTTGAGGTCACTAGGTCAAAGGTCAAGGTCACAGGGCCTTGACTTAAAAAAGCTTGTCCGCCCAATAACTTAAGATTCCTTTGACCTTAGTCTTCATATTTGGCATGGAGGTTAGTCATGATTAGTAGATGACCCTATTGATTTTGAGGTCACTAGGTCAAAGGTCAAGGTCACAGGGGCCTTGACTTAAAAAAGCTTGTCCGCCAATAACTTAAGATTCCTTTGACCCTTAGTCTTTATATTTGGCATGGAGGTTAGTCATGATTAGTAGATGACCCCTATTGATTTTGAGGTCACCAGGTCAAAGGTCAAGGTCACAGGGGCCTTGACTTCAAAAAGCTTGTCGCGCCAATAACTTAAGATTCCTTTGACCTACAGTCGCCATTTTGGCATGGAGGTTAGTCATGATCAGTAGATGACCTCTATTGATTTTGAGGTCACCAGGTCAAAGGTCAAGGTCACAGGGACTTTGACTTCAAAAACGTTATCTGCCCAATAACTTTAGATTCCTTTGACCCACAGTCTTCATATTTGACATGATGTTGATCATGATTAGTAGATGACCCCTTTTGATTTTGAGGTCACTGGATCAAAGGTCAAGGTCATAGGGACTTCAAAAAAGTTTGTCCACCCATTAACTTAAGATTCCTTTGACCCACAGTCTTCATATTTGGTATGGATGTTGATCATGACTATAAGGTGACCCCTATTGATTTTGAGGTCACTGGGTCAAAGGTCAAGGTCACAGGGACCTTGACAAAAAAAAAGCTTTTCTTCTCAATTGCTAAAGAATGTCCTGTCCGCAATGTATTGATTTTGACATTTTCACATTTGAAGCATGTAGAATACATAACTTAGCAATGCACTGGCTTAGTCACCTCAGATTTGGCAGGGAGGTTGTCCTTGAGCTCTAAATGGCCACTGTTGATTCTGACAAAGTGGTATGCGGGGGTATTCACGCCATGATAGTGGCAGTTCTAGTTGTTATTGTTAAACAGTTATAATAATTACTTTGCCAGTGTAGAGAACGGTTGTTCCAGAAATGGTTCATACCAAATCTGGTATAATACCCAATCTGGTATAGTACCCAATCTGGTAACTACCAGATCTGGTATCTCATTATATTGTACCAAACCTGGTACTTGTTTACTGAATCTGGTCATCTATAGGTATAATAATAATAGACTTTAGGCATCCATGACTATGTATATTTAAATAAATTGATCTATATAATATTTTAATTAAAAGAGTTTTAAGTTACAAAATGTCTTCTGTGTTCATTTATAATTTGGTACTTGGGCCGTGTAAAACGAACCCTGAGTTAATGTGAGGCTGCAGACTGCCCTGGAAACACTAAGCAGGGGTCTGGGCACCACATCTGGTGTCAGAAGTGGGATTTACAAGGTCTAACAAGATCATGGTTAACACAAATGTTTTAGATAAATTGAACATGATAATATAGATAAGAACAAAAATAATTTTTTTTAGAATTTAGTTAGTATTACACATAAGTGAAAAAAAAAACAAGTTTTCAATTTGAAAAGTTGAATATTCCTGACAATTGGCTAAACAATTTTAAGAAAAGTTAAATATTTGCGATAAGAATTGTCTGAGATTGAGATGTTGTTTATGTTGACAGTTTTCTGTTCTGTTTTCTCTACACTGGAAGGTTATCTGTTGATGTTCTGTTGACAACCTGGAAAAGATAATGATATTATAATAAGTTGACACATACATGTGTGAGAAGTAATAGTGACAAATTTTTATTGGTACATTAGTACAGAATTATGAACTTATATTATAAGTCTTTATGATAAGTAACAAATAAGAAATATAGTATATATATAATTATTTCCAGGTTGTGAGTTTAAATTGTTTCCTTGATAAAATTATATAATTTACTTAGTTACAAAATGGCTGAATCAGATATTGATCATAGCTATTCTGTTGTGAATCCGAAAAACACTGAATCAATGGATAACAGGGATTATAGTGAAGGCGATCAAAGCTCTTCAGAAAATGTATTTAATGAAAAACAATATGATTCTAGTTCTAGAATTGATAGTCTTGAGAATTTTATGGGAAGTCAAATTTCAAATATAGTAAAAGAAATAGGCACTTTAAGCCTTACTTTAGAAAATGTAACTAGTAAAATACAAAATAAACTAGGTACTGTAGAAAATGATATTTTATCTGTTAGATCACGGTTGTCTGAATTAGAACATCCTGATAATGAGGTCAGTTTCAATCATTATAGAAACAATGTACATTTTGAGCATAATGATAATCCTCAAATTCCTGTTCATATAACACCATCAAGACCAAGTAATATTAGTAATAATCATATAGGCCAAAATAACAATGTAAGCTCTGCTGATAATGTGATATCTCATGACAAGAGACATGGTTTGAAAATGAAACCACAGAATTTTAGTGGAGAAGAAGATCTACATGATTTTCTCACACAGTTCGAAATAACTTCTGAAATTAATGGGTGGACATATGTTGAAAAGTCCTTATATTTGGCAAGTACATTGACAGGTACTGCTAGATCTCTGTTAACAGAATTGTCTGAAACTGAAAGAAGAGATTTCTCAAGTTTAATTTTAAAACTAAAGAGCAGATTTGGTTCTGAAAATAAGGCCGAGGTATTTCGTACTCAACTAAAAACTAGAATAAGGTTAAAGGGAGAGTCCATTCCTGAATTGGCCCAATCAATACGTAAATTGACAAGAAAAGCATATCCGACCGCAAACCCAGACGTTGTAGATGCTTTAGCTTTAGATAGTTTTATAGATGCCCTGAATGAGTCTGATATTAGACTAAGATTACGAGAAGTTAGCCCAAAAAGTATATCTGAGGCTGAACAAATAGCTGTCAGGATGGAAGCTCATAGGCTTGCGGACAGACAGAGAAGTAGACTGATAGGCAGTGTACAGGAAAGAACTGAAAACCCTACAAATTCTATATCCTCACAAAATAGTTCTCATAGCAACCCTTACAGACCTAAACCTAACATGTCTAAACCTACATTTAACAGACCATATCAAGCTCAGGAATTTAGACCTGAAAATAATAGACAGCAAACAAGACAAAATTTCAATCAATTTAGAAATTATCATGAAAATAGAAACACCAGGTATAATGCTAGATCTAATGAAAACCAACCAAGTTCAAGGTATGATAATAGAAGAAATCAAAATTTTAATCAGGGAAACGAACAAATGCCAAGTTGGAGGGGCCACAACTTGACAAGAAATGCAGGTCCCAGATTGCACTAAATAATCTAGGATCAGATCATGGTTACTTTTTGTCAGCATATTTATATGGTAACCATGTGTCAATGTTAGTAGATAGTGGAGCTAATGTAAGCATTTTAAATAAAGAGACAATAGAAAGGCTTCCATATTCAGAAAGACCTGTAATATATCCTGTTCAAACTTCACTTATATCAGTAACCGGAGAGTCAACTCCATTTTTAGGAAAAACAGAAATTGCTATAAAAATAGGTAGACATAGTATTGTACATACATTTTTAATTGCTGAAATACAGCAAGGTGGTATACTTGGTGTAGATTTTCTATTACAAAATCAGTGTGACATAATATTCAGTAAAAAGTATATAACCTTAAAAGGGGATAAGATACCATGTTATATGCACCAAAAGGATAATGAAAACACATGTTGTAGAATAGTTGTAGCTGAGACAATAGAAATACCTCCAGAAACTGAAATAATTTTAGAGGGTAAACCTTTAGACGCAGTAGACAAGAATAGTTCAGCTATAATAGAGGCCAATACAAATTTTGTAGAAAAATCTGGTTTACTGGTAGCCAAAACTTTAGTAAATCCTAATACAGGTAATTTTCCTATTAGAATTGCTAATTTCAATTCAGAACCTTGTAAAATTTATAAAAATACAATTGTGGGTAATTTAGAGTCTGTAACAGTGAATGAGAACAGTTCACCTAATAAATTCAGTGTATGCAGTAGCAAAGAGAAGGTTGCAAGTCCAAACAATACTGAAATACCAGCACATTTAAATGATCTTTTTGAAAGGTCCTCTATTCATTTAAATAGTGAGGAAAAAGCTAAACTTAGGCAAATTTTAGTAAGATATCAAGATGTATTCTCTAAAAATGATAGAGATATAGGTCACACAAAGTTAGTGGAACACCATATAGATACTGGTAACAGTACCCCTATCAAAACCTATCCTTACAGAATACCTCTAGCAAAAAGAGAGGTGGCTGAAAATGAAATAAAGAAAATGGTTGAAGACGGGATAATCGAACCAGCTTGCTCACCTTGGTTATCACCTATCATAATGGTTACAAAACCTGACAAATCTGTTCGTTTCTGTTGTGACTTTCGCAAATTAAATGAAGTTACAATTAAAGAATATCAACCCTTGCCAAGAATTGAAGATAATCTTGACGCCTTATCAGGTTCTAAATGGTTTTGTACTTGTGACTTGTCAAAAGGTTTTTGGCAAGTAGACATTGATAAAGAGAGTAGACCGAAAACAGCTTTTAGTCTTCAAGGTGGTCAACAATGGCAGTTTAAAAAGTTAGCATTTGGTTTGTCTAATAGTCCAAGTGTATTCACACGACTAGTACAAATGGTTTTTAAGGGTCTTATCTGGAAAACTTTAGTTTTGTATCTAGACGATATAATTTTATTTGCAAAGACTTTTGAAGATACTTTAAAACACCTTGAAGAAGCTTTACAGAGATTAAAGCAAGCAAACTTAAAATTAAATCCTAGAAAATGCCATTTCTTTCAAAAGCAGGTAACATTTTTGGGTCATGTTGTAAGTGAAGAAGGGACCTCCACATGTCCAGAAAAAGTTCAAAGTGTTAAAGAATGGCCCACACCAAGAAATGTTAGAGATGTTAAGAGTTTCCTGGGACTTGTTTCATTTTACCGAAAGTACATTTATCAATTTTCGAACATAGCAAAACCCTTACATACTTTAGCAGAAAAAGATAAGAGATTTGAATGGACAATAGAATGTGAAAATGCATTTCAAGCTTTGAAAACAGCTTTGATAACAAGTCCTATACTAGCTTTCCCTACCCAAAATGATTATTTCATACTTGATACGGACGCGAGTAATTCAAGTATGGGAGCGGTGCTCCATCAAGTACAAGACGGAGAAGAAAAAGTAATCGCGTATTTTTCTAAGTGCTTTTCAAGATCCGAGCGTAACTACTGCGTGACACGCAGAGAATTACTGGCTGTCGTTACTGCGGTAAAACATTTCCATCATTATTTATACGGAAGAAAATTCACTATTCGTACAGATCATGCGAGTCTAAGATGGCTTACCAATTTTAAACAATTAGAGGGTCAGTTATGTCGTTGGGTAAGCATTTTAGAAAATTATGACTATGAAATAAAGCATAGACCAGGTAAAATACATGGTAATGCTGACGCATTAAGTCGTCGTCCCTGTTATGACAAAAGTTGTTCATATTGTGAACGTGTTGAAGATAAACATGTTCAAAATAACAAAAAGGTGTTATGTACAGAAAATGTTTCTGTTTGTCCTGTCTTTGAAAACAAACCGAGCGATAGTGTTAGCTCAGAAAATACTAACTTTAGTCTAAGTAGAGTTACAAATGAAAAGTTAATATTAAGTCTTATCTTAATAATAGTGGTAGTTACCCAAATTCCAATTTCTATTACAGTTGCTTTTTGTCTTATTTTACTAAATGTGACAAGTAGGGATATATGTAAAACTTTTTGTGTTAATGTCTGTACGGACAGAGATAAAAATGAAGATTTAGTTACTATACTAAATAATAGTAAGATCAATTGTCAAGATAAGGCTTCCAAGAATTGTTGCATGGTGGTCAGTCAAACAATGTCTGGCGCAACAATAGAAAATGGAAAACCTTCGCTGACTGAAAATGAAATAAATAGGGCAGGATGCAAAGAACCTGTCAAGTCTCAAGGTCAAAGTAGTGAAATGTTAACTATAGGGGTCAGGTCTGCCAAGTCTGACAGTAACACTTCACATGAATGTTTACCAGGTCCGTCCAATAAAGATAGTAATGTCTGCTTGAACAAAAATAAGGATAGCTCACACACAAACCTAAATAAACCATCAACAAGCACCAAACAATCAGATAATGAAGTCAAACAAACACAAAATACTGAAGACAACAGTGACATTGATATTAATGAATTAAATTTAGAGCTCTTAGCCAAGTTGCAAAGAGAAGATTCAGTAATTGGTCAAGTGTCCGAATGGGTGTTGTCTGGAAACAAACCAAATTGGAATATGGCATCTAAATATAATGCCGAATATAAGTATTATTGGTATAGGTGGGAATCATTGATAATTAAAAAAGATATCCTTTACAGAAAATGGGTTAGTGACATAGATAACTCAGTAGAATATCAGATTATTCTTCCTAAAGTCCTTATTAAACAGGTATTAACACAAATGCATAATTCAACAACATCAGCTCATTTAGGTGTGAAGAAAACAATATTTAGGGTTAGACAAAGGTTTTTCTGGTATAGCTTACGAAAAGATATTGAAGACTGGATTAGAAAATGCACTGTGTGCGAGTCCAGAAAACCGACTCGTCAGAAACAAAAAGCGTATATGAAACAATTTGTCACCGGAGAAAGATGGGAAAGAATTGGGGTAGACTTTGTAGGTCCTTTAGGGAAAACAGAAAGAAATAATTCATATTTAATGGTAGTAACTGATTATTTCTCTAAATGGGCCGAGGCAATCCCATTACCAAATATAGAAACTCAAGTAGTAGCAGATGCACTCATATCAAATATTTTTCAAAGATTTGGAATACCTTTAAGTATACATACAGACCAAGGTCCACAGTTTGAGTCTAATCTTTTTAAAGAACTCTGTCAACTGTTTGACATTAAAAAGACAAGAAATACACCTTTTAGACCTCAAGGGGCTGGTTTTGTAGAAAGAACTAATAAAAGTGTCCTAAATATGTTAACGGCATTTGTTTCTGAAAATGGTGACGATTGGGACAAGTATGTACCTTTCTGCATGATGGCACATCACACTGCTGTACATCAATCTACTGGTGTCACACCATTCTCTATGATGTTTGGAACTCAGATGAGGTTGCCAATTGACCTATTGATAGGAGCTCCTCTTGTAGACAATCCTGAAAAAGAAAACAGGTATGCCAGTGATTATGTAAGAAAATTAGAGGAAAAACTTTATCAAATTCATTCTTTTGCTAGAAAGAAATTAAAAATTTCAAGTGATGCTATGAAAAGAAATTATGATTTAAATGCTAATCAGACTTCTTATGTAGTAGGTGATTCTGTTTGGTATTATAACCCACAGAGAAAAGTTGGTAGAAGTGGAAAATTAACAAGACCATGGAAAGGTCCATATCAAATAATTGAAAAAGTTAGCAACATTTTATATCGAATAAAGGGTAGTCAGAGAGAACGACCTAGAGTTGTTCATCATGATAAGCTTAAAGCATACATTAATTAAACAAATAAGTGTAAATAGCACACCTATAATTCACAACAGTATAGACTGTTTGGTGTTGCGTTAGTTTTATTGTTACTGTTCTGTTGTTGTTGTTGCTAATTTTTGCTACATTGTATAGAGATATATCATATTCAGTTGATAATGTCTTATTTAAATTGAAAAGATAAATTTATATGATTCTTTACCAATGGATTATTATAAATGAAAAGATTATATAATGATGTTATTATATACATGACATGATAAATAATACTTGATAAGAAATTACTTTCATAACTTGTTGAAAAGTAATTATTGTACATTCACGAAATGTATTAATGGATAAATATAAATTCACGAAATGTATTAATGGATAAATATAAAGATAATGAAGTTTATACTTAGGAAACTTATTTTGTCTATCTTCAGAAACCCTTTGAATGTAAGATTTGTGGAGATATCTCCTTTACAACCCGAAGCAGATGTTACAGTCATATTCTAGAACAGCACTCTGGTGTGACATGGAAGTGTCGATTCTGTTGCAAGGTCTATCATAGAAACACACCGCAAGCAAATACCTGTCACGACAAAAAGGAAAATTATATTAGGTTTGTCCAGGCTACAGGTGAAAGAGGGAAAGAAGCTGATGACATAATGGAAAGATTTAAACTAACAATTCCTGATTTGATAATAGACAAAAGGCAAGGGTATAATATGATAAGGAAACAGACAAGACCGGTATTATTCGAAAGAAAGAGGGGAAGGCCACAAAGCAGAGAAAATAGATGTTCGAAAAAGAGAAGGGAAAGTTCTAGCTCCAGTAGCTCTGAATCATCAGACACATCCAGATCAAGTAGTACAAGCTCAAGAGAAGATGAAACGGTAACTGCTGTTAGGGATCTACTTGATCTGGAGGATGACTTTCAAATCGTGGAACCTTGTTACGAAGAGAAATTAAGAAAAGAAAGTGAGGAAAGACTAAGAATTGAAAATGAAAGAAAAGAGAAACAGGAAAAATTTAGAAAAGAGAAAGAAAGGCGAGAGATAGCAGAGGTAAAGGAGAGACAAGAAAGAGAGGAGAGGCTCAGAATTGAAAGGGAAATAAAAGAAGATGAAGCAAGGAAAGAGGCAGAGGAGAAAAAAAGGAAAGAGGAAGAACTTAGACTTGAGACGGAAAGAAAAGAGAAAGAAGTGAAGGAAGCAGAGGAAAAGCAAAGGCAAGAAAGAGAGGAGAGACAGAGAGTAGAAAAGGAAAGGAAAGAGAATGAAGCAAGGAAAGAAGCAGAGGAGAAAAAGAGAAAAGAGGAGGAACTTAAACTTGAGAAAGAAAGAAAAGAGAAAGAAACAAAAGAAGCAGAGGAGAAAAAGAGAAAAGAGGAGGAAATTAGACTTGAGAAAGAAAGAAAAGAGAAAGAAACAAAAGAAGCAGAGGAGAAAAAGAGAAAAGAGGGGGAACTTAGACTTGAGAAAGAAAGAAAAGAGATAGAAACAAAAGAAGCAGAGGAGAAAAAGAGAAAAGAGAAGGAACATAGACTTGAGAAAGAAAGAAAAGAGAAAGAAACAAAAGAAGCAGAGGAGAAAAAGAGAAAAGAGAAGGAAGTTAGACTTGAGAAAGAAAAGAGAAACATGGAAGCAGAGAAAGAAAAGGAAGAAAAGGGAAGGGTAGAAGAAAAGAGACTACACGCAAAGGACAAGGAGGAAAGACATAGTAAGAAAACAGAAGAAAAACAAAAGATGGAAATAGTTACACTGAATGTAGGAGGACGAAAATTTTCAACTTTAAATACCACCGTGAAAGGCATAATGGACAAAGTAGTGATAAATAAAGATGAATTGTTCATTGACAGGGACAGTGAACTATTCCCATATGTCTTGAATCATTTAAGATACCGTCAACAAGGAGTGATGAACCTGTCAAGAGATCTTTTACCATCAGACAGAGGAAGTTTGGCTGCATTACAACTCGAGGCGAAATATTTCAACCTCCCAAAGCTAGAAAAACAGTGCAGTGACAAAAGGATAAGTTTAAAAGAAAATGTTTAAACAAGAATAAATAAAGTGCTATAATGTCAAATATAGACAGAATCAAAGGAATATTTAGAAAATAATTATTAAAAGATAAAAGGAATTTTTAGAAAAAAGAAATACATATGACAAAAGGAATATACCGATAAACAGAATACCACCCTGATGAACAAACTAAAGGAACAGTATTACAGATATCTTCAGTGGACTTTAAAAGATTAATTTAACTTTATACAAATAAATTTCACATTTAATGTTTCCAACTAATTTTAGTGTTAACAAATATTTCAAAGTTAACATTTTACAATAAATACTATTAAGCAAACTTTAATCCATTTCGTGAGAATTAATTATCTTAACTTTACTTGTGAGACAAACTCATACTTACGTAATATACATATTTTGTGATTATTCTACAGGATTTTGTGCCATGCACAGTTCAGTGTGTCTGAAATACTTTAAAAAAAAAAAAAAAAATAATACAATGAACATTAAATTTTTGTGTAAAATAATTTGACGCAATAGAATACATCTATATTAACTATACATGTATACATTTAGTGTTATTAATATAACATTTGACATTATACTTTGTAATGCAATGTTACTAAATATTAAAATTTATGAACACTTAGTGCATTATAAGTGACATAATTGCTTATTTTAACAGATGAGACTTACAAATTTCTTATATTAAGAATATGTAAAGACATTTTAATTATTATCTTGGTGGAATATACATGTACTATTATGAAACAATGTTATAAGGTTTTACTTTTAGACATGTTAAATTATTATTATTTATTGTTTTCATATGTTATGGAAGTCTATTCGCATGTTAAGTAAAAGTGATATTTTTAAATCATTGACACAAAACAATTATTTAAAGGCTGTATACTTACATCTTTTATAGACATCTGCACTGGTTCTACAGTCATAATTGCTTTTGTACTTGTAACCTAAAAGAGACTTCCTATTGTTAATTGTAAATAAATTGTTATTTTGAATTGTTAAATTGTTATAAAAAGATTATATCTACAAGTGAACAACATAACTCTTAATTAATTGGTGATGTTGATTATTTACATGTATTTCAGTAATCAATTAAGTCAATTAAGCATAATGATAATAAGTATTTAATAGTGTACCTTTAAATAAATAGTTAAAAAAATATGTAAAAATTAACTTACCACACTTCTTAATCGGGGACCGATTCCTGAGAGGTGGGGGTAATGTGATGCTCAGGCTATTTTATCAATGTTCTTTAATATTTATTCATTTTCCGACTTTGAGTACGAATATTTCTGAGTACGAACCATCGCATTGTTTTGATGATTACTTTCTATGTAACTGCTTTTATCTCACATTATTATGATTTTCAGATGCCATTTGTATATATAAATGTTTATTATCTATTCTTAAATGCTGACATACGTTTATTTTCATGTAATCTTGCTTAATATTTGGTCACATTTCTGAATTTGCCACTGGTCGGCCATTTTGAATATTAATGTGATGACGTCACAGGGTACTATAAATACTGCGCGTTAGCATATCGTTGTCATCTCATATCAGGTCGTCTGGTAGAAAAGTACTCTACGGAGTAGATAATTGTAGACGATTAAATAACCGAAAATGGATAGGATACTGGTTAGCGACCTACAAATCCGGACGTCCACCAATCCGGACACACGCGTAAACGCTTTATTTTCGCGAAAAATTTGATCAACTGTTGTCGATCACTCAAGCGCTTGATTCTGCAGCAACCAAAATCAACAACTTCAACGATATGTAAGTATAATTGATGAAAATGCAATATTTACGTTTGTCTGCGAGTTCGCTGTGTGCCTACTCGCGGGGGGAAGTCAAATATAACGCAATGCGCATGCGCAAATTTTTTGCTGAGGCCCGGACAAGTTTAAAGGGGTCAACTTTAAGAAAATATGAAGCAGACGAACTTTTGCAAAAAGATATATATTAACTATAACTTACTTAGACATACCCTACAACTTAAACGTATCATTTTATGAAAGTGCATAATGTTTTGTGCAAATACATATTATGAAAACAAATTTTAAATAAAATAGGGACGGGTCACGCCAAATTTTTTCAATTCAAGGGAGGTAACTCGCACTATTTCTCCCTAATATTTAAAAGAAGGATTGTCTTTCTTTGCAAATATTAAATAACGTTGTGCTGAAGCCGTGCTTTTTGTTTTATTTTGTGTATGTGATTAAAAAATGTAGTTCACAATATAATTTAATTGATGACTCGCTTATAATAATGTTTGTAGATCTAATATTAATTATTTATTGAAATATCTAAATGCCGACTGACCGTGACTACTTAATTTTTTCTCAATCACAGTTCCCAAAATGCAAGCTAGACAATATACCGCAGACAGCCTGCAGAAGGCAATTTCTGCTGTGAAACAAAAGAAACTGAAAACGAGGACAGCAGCAAGAGAATTTGGAGTGCCGAAAAGCACGTTGCACGACAGACTGAAAGTGAATTCATCTCACGTAAACATGAAAAAAATGCCCCGCCTCCTTACTACTGAAGAAGAGAAAGCATTAGTAGCTTTTATCCAGTACATGGCTCATCAGGGGTTTCCCATGACAAGGACGATGGTTAGGTGCTATGTCCGAGAAATCCTCAAACGTAAAGGTAAATTAGAAACCCGATACGATTAACACTTTAATACTCGTAAGAGGGGTTGGCAGTATCCAGAGATAGATAGATTAAGTTACTTTATACATGTTTATATAAAGACGCCAGTCATCAAACGTTAGTAATGATTTGAAATATCTTTTTAAAATGTTCATATAAAATTTAAATAGTGCATGTGTTGTAGGCTTATATAAATTTAGAAATGTACACACATATATTTGAATTCAATTTTTAGGACGGGAAACAGCCAATGCTGGACAAGGTCCGTCGGATAAATGGTTTAGGGCATTCATGAAGCGTAATCCGATGCTTTCTGAAAGAACGCCTGAAAATCTTGATAAATCAAGAGCACGGATGTCAAGCCAAAAAACCATGGATGGTTGGTTCAGCCTTCTGGAATCAATTCTAGACGAAAATGACTTGAAAAATAAAGAGTCACAGGTATTTTAACTATTCCTAGCTAATTTTCATTTGAATTATTCATCACGATTATTGACATTAAATTATTAACCCGCACTGAAGACAATACATAAATGCTCTATCGTTTGAATGTAATTTCATACATATTCATCTTTCAGATTTTCAATGTTGATGAAACTGGGTGGTCGGGGAAAGAACGGTCGCGGACAAAAGTGCTCGGGCCAAAACAGGGACACGTTTTCGCAAATAAAAACATCAGAAATGACCACGTCACGGCGAATCTCTGTATATGCGGAGATGGAAAAATACTGCCGCCAATGATCATTTATAAAGTAAATATAACATTTCTTTTTAGCCACTTATTATTGATATACAGATTTAAATGACTGATTAATGTAAATGAAAATACTAATTCATCATTTATTCTATTTCATTTTTTTTATTATTTTACAGGAATCCTACCCGCATCGAAATTTCACTGAAGGTATTCCAGACTCGTGGATTTTCGGTACATCTATGTCTGGGTATATGGACGGGGAACTTTTTCTGTCGTGGTTTAAAAGAATTTTTCTCTTGAACTGCGGCAGAGAAAGACCCGTTCTTTTAATACTTGATAATCACGACTCTCATGTGACGCTGCCATTAGTTGAGACAGCTCGTGCAAACAACGTAATATTGGTTGGAATGCCTGCACATACAACGCATATATTGCAACCATTAGATGTGAAGGTTTGATATATATTAAGAATATATTTTTCTTAATAATGCTTTCTCCTTACGTAGTACAAATCACGTAAAGTATTTCAATTTTGCTTCATATTTGAATAAATATACAGTTGTGAAGCGATTTAATGTTAAGCTGTAAATAATAAAAATTATCATTATTATAATAATTATTTCGCAATAATTATACAGTTTTTGATTGTATTTAATGCTTGGCTGTAAATAATTTAAATAAATAAATAAATAACAGGTTAATGCACCACTGAAGAGGAGATTCAGTTCCCTAGCCACCAACCTGGGCTTTGCTAATCCAAACTTAACGATAAGCAAGGGGAATTTTCCAGTTGTTTTAAGGCATGCACTGGAACAGACTACACCGTCATCTGTAAGAGAAGCGTTCCGGCTCACGGGCATTATCCCATTTGACCCTCAGGCAATCGACAAAAGTCAACTTATACCACCAACTTTTGTGCGAAGAAATGAAGAAAGTAAGTGCTTTTTTCTGACATTTCACTTTTATACAAATGAACTATCCGTGTAGGTAAAATATTCAATACACCCATGTTTCTATTATACTTGAATATAATTATGTTTTAAATATTTGTTGTCATCATAATGTTTGGTTCCTCCGGACTTGTTCATTAATAATATACCGCATGAATATTTTTCAGCCGGAAGAACAGAAAGTACTAATGTGCGAACATGTGAATCGTGTGGCTCCTTCCTAGTTAACCCATTGATAGACCAAGGACTTATTCCTGCATCTATGGCACAAATCTTGATCCCTCCATGTAATGCCCAAATGAAAGTAAATCCTACCAAAAAATCCCGGGTTGTGGCAGAGGGGCGTGTCATTAGCGGTGACGAGATACTTAAACAGTTAAAAGTATCTATTCTAAACCATATATTACTAGTAGTTTATTGCATTAAAAATATACATGTATTACCTATAATGACAAAATAGAAATCGATTTGACAGAGATTAAATGTTATGTGAAATATTTTTCACGGCGTTAGTATTACAAAAAATTGATGTTTATAGATATATTATATATATATATTGTTTTAGTAATTAATCAATTGTTTTATATTTATCAGTGTGTATTTTCAAGTAAATATTTTACTTCCATTGTTCTAAAAGCAAAGTTCAATACTTACCACCTTCCTACTTACCTGACTTCTTATATAAAGATACTGACGGAATGGAACAAAGGTCGAGAGCTGTTGGTACTTATAGCATTATAATTTGTTGTGTATTTGACTGCGCGTATCTTTCTGCCATTTTTACAGTGAAACAAACGTTAGAGTAATTTGCTGATCGAAAAATTAATATAAAGGGTATATGGATGTTTCAGGAAAAGGAAGAAAATGCAAGAAAATTGGAGGAGGCAAAAGAAGAAAGGCGTAAGCTAAAGGAATTCAGAAAGGAGCAGAAAGAAAGGGACATTGAAGAAAGGCAACATAAGAAACAGAAAAAGACAGAAGAGAAGGAACGTCGAGAAAGACAGAAGAAAGATGAACAAATTAGGAGAGCTGTGTGTGGACGATTGGCTAATAGAAAATTTACGTGTGGAGTGTGTGGGGAGAGAGGTCGGATGAATGACGAGTTAAATGGTGTGATGTGGTATGGTTGTGATGAGAGTATGTGTGAGAAATGGTATCATGAAGAATGTTTAAGTATGAAAGAGAGAGAATGTTTAAGAGAGAGTATGGAAGAGAAGAGTGACTGGTACTGTGGCAAATGTAAACCCTGGCTGTACCAAGAGGAATAAATGTTTCATTCGTGTTAATATGTGTATATATGTGTATATATGTGATACTTTCATATGTAAAATTGAAATAAATATTATTTGTATTTTTATCAAAGATGAAAGGATATAATATCAAATTACTGATAAAGAACTAGAAATCATGTTAGTTTCCTTTTATTCTAAAACCCGAATGTCACGTCTATAATTGACATAAAGATTCGTATAATAAACATAACAATTCAGTCTTCCTTTGGTATTTAAGTTAAAATCAACGCATATGATGATATTTCAACGTCAGACAGAGAGACATATTACCTGTGAAGTTGCATGAGCTCTTGGTCATTTTGCATATTACCGCACACTTAAGTAACGGTACGGCTTATTTTTAATACATGCTTTCTATTTATAGGCGAAAAACATGAACCTGAATAATAAATATTGAGGTAAAATATCTTACTTATTAATGATTGACAGTAAAAAAGTCAAAAAATTATAAATTGGAAGTGTTATGAATGTTTAACAGAGCGTCCGGAAACATGGTCCTGTTTTAAGCTTAATTTATACAGTTTAATGACCCTACGTTAGGGCCTCAATAACGGGTGTTCTATATTTAGAAAAAAGAAAAACCCATGTCGTGACAGCGGCCTTGAACCTAACTTCCCCAAGGTTGAATATTGAGCGTGTCAGGTAAACAGTTTTCAAAATATTGTGAAAAATGTTGTAAAAACGTCCGGTTGTAGGTCGCCAACCAGTACAGGTGAAATTCACTTGTTGTTATTGTTAAACAGTTATAATAATTACTTTGCCAGTGTAGAGAACGGTTGTTCCAGAAATGGTTCATACCAAATCTGGTATAATACCCAATCTGGTATAGTACCCAATCTGGTAACTACCAGATCTGGTATCTCATTATATTGTACCAAACCTGGTACTTGTTTACTGAATCTGGTCATCTATAGGTATGATAATAATAGACTTTAGGCATCCATGACTATGTATATTTAAATTAATTGATCTATATAATATTTTAATTAAAAGAGTTTTAAGTTACAAAATGTCTTCTGTGTTCATTTATAATTTGGTACTTGGGCCGTGTAAAACGAACCCTGAGTTAATGTGAGGCTGCAGACTGCCCTGGAAACACTAAGCAGGGGTCTGGGCACCACAATATGACTATATAAATATAAAAATAAATAGAATACTGTAGGAAGGTCTATGTAGAAGGGGTATTAGTAATATGGGTTACTTTTCAGTGATGAACAAAAATTATGATATATAATAAGAATGTTTCTATATCTATCTTCAGCATAGTCAACATATAATACACAGGGATTTGAAGGCAGAGAACGTGTTCTATGCTGGCCAAAGGTTTGTTAAGGTTGGCGATTTCGGATTTAGTACATACAGTATGCCTGATGCTCTCCTGAACACGTTTTGTGGGTCCCCTCCATACGCTGCTCCGGAATTGTTTAAAGACGAGAGTTATATAGGTGTGTTTGTAGACATCTGGGCTATGGGGATCATGCTGTATTTCATGGTAACGGGAATTATGCCATTCAGAGCAGACACGGTCGCGAAGTTGAAAAAGTGCATTTTAGACGGTAACTATATAATTCCTTCCTATGTGTCAGATAGTTGTCAGTTTTTGATACGTAGTATTTTAAAAGCTGTACCACAAGATAGGTTCACTATTCAGGAAATCATTCATTCAGAATGGCTAGAAGGCCAGGAATTTCCTACCCCTTTGGAACCATACAGTATGTGCCCAAGTCTTTCTGGTGCTAACATAAGCGAGGAGGAACGAGATGCTCGTAAAGTGTTACGTGACTTTGGCATCACAGACGATCATTTTAGACAGAATCATAACAGAGACTCTCGGTCTAGTGTAACTGGAACGTATAGAATAGTGCTTCATAAAATACACAAGAGACGTTTAGGAATTACGGAAAATAGTTCATCGGAGAATTTACAAGAAATTGCGCGCATGGCACGCTCTAAGGAGAATCACCCGTCAGCAGTGACAAAACAGCAGTCATCCAAGTTCTGTACAATATTGTGATGCATAATTTTTACCTGTGATAGTATTATTTGTTTTGAATTGTTATTTGTTATTGTTGGTATTGTTTTGATTTATCTAACTGTTTATTTGAACACTATTTCAAGTAGCAGGGACACTTACATGGAACAAATTGAATGCCGTATTTTTAGATGAAAATTACACAATTTTATTCTGCACTAGAGTTATATATTTTTGGATTAAAGAATAAATTATTTAAGAAATGTGAATTTTGTTACACTTTCATGTTCAGAAAAGACATTTTGCACAATAAATTACATATCAAAATTATTTTTTGACCAAAATTGTTTTGTATTATATATGTTTGTAATTATTGTTTTCTTTAAAAGCTACATAAATCATCGAGTAAGGAATTTATTTTTATAAAGATTTTTACTGTAAGGGAAAATCCAAGTTTATGTAATCGATAATCGATACAACATTGCTTTTTTTTGTTCATTAAACTGATATCATAATTTGCATACAGAATTTCCCATAAATCATTTGAAGTTTTTCAGCATGTTATGAAATTGATTTTTCAATCAATATACATGTACTTCAATGATTTTATGGGTTCTGCTGCAATTGGAATGACATAATTAGGTCAGAAAATGTCAAGATGGTTATTTTATTTTTAAGTGTAAGAACGGTAACTTTGACAATTTTGTGATGAGAGGAGTTAATTTGGCTCAAAATTAAACTGATTTTTGATAAACAAAATTTGACAGAAGTTTGATGGCGAAAAAAATCAAGGTAGATTGTGAGAATAAATGCAAAATCTGACCCAAGCTGATACTTCATATAGATGGATATGATATTTATGAAAATCACCAGATAAAGTATTTTAAAATGAGAAAAAGTTCACAAAATTAGTATCATATTTTTTGTTGAACAAGCTTTTAAAATGTTTATTTTAGTACACATCTCCTTCCAGATTTTTTGCTTACTTTGGCCAACAAAGAAACTTTTCACATACTTGAGAAATTTTTTTTCAATATTGATAATGCAGTTTTCTTCCAATCCACCCCCCCCCCCCCCCATTATTGTTTGCTACTCGTAAGAATAATGTTAATAATTATGGCAATAAATTCATTAATAGTAAATTTACTTGCAAAAAAACAGATGTAATCTGTGAATGTTTAACTTTTGTACACATGTATATGTGTAAATGTGTAAAAACAGATAAATATTTGATGGTTGTATAACATTGAAAACTCTTCAATCATGTTTATATTGGTTGTGGTATGGTCATTTAGAAACAAATATGACGTAATAGCATATTTTCATACAATCTATGGAAAATTCGGAAAAGTAATTAATTTTTAGTTAGATCTGTATGAAGCTTGTCCATGTAATTAAATAGAGAGTAAGGTTGTCCTGGTCCCTGATTTAAGTGTTGGAGTCCTGGTTGAGTCCTTCGACAACTATTTTGTTGTCATGATTTGGTTTGAAGACAATATCATAAATTTTCATTTGTCCTCCATCAATTTTTCAACTAATGCATGTTACGAGAAGTAGGAAGTTACTTTACAAAAACTAGTTATAACTGGTACAGAATCAAGGAAAACCATCTTAAGTAATTGCTTTCTTTTATGTGACTTAAAAATACTAGTGATTATCAGTAGAGAACAAAAGAATTTCTGAAGTGTGACAGGTTCTTTTATACCTTTTTACCGGATAATGATTGACAATCTGTTCAAATTTTTTTAATGATCTGATACAATTTTTTCCCCATTCCCCCCTTTTTTTATGGCTGCACTTGATTGACAATCATCAGGGTTAAGGTAGAATAAATGTGTTCATTTTTTTTTTCAAGATATAGAAAGTAGTGTTAGGTTTGTCATGTAGAAAGGAAGTAGTTTTATTGACAAGTTGTCACTCTCAGAAAACAACTAAACAAACTAATAACTTAATATCTTAAATGGACTTGTTCAATATTTTAAGGGCAAATTTTTAAATATTTATTGAATGAATAGTGAAACAGTGCTGACCAATGATGATCAGACACCACATCCGGTGATCTAATGATATGCACTGGTTATATAGGTAGAATCTATGTATATGCTGAGGCCCACATGGAAGATCGGTAAACTGAATGTGCTAGCCTCATTAAATAAAGTCATTACTAATACTTACAGTACTTACTAATCTGTTGTTGTTACATGTACCTTGCTAAGGGTTAATAGAACAACATTAGTAAACCTTTGGAAGAGCTCAATAACGTTTGGAATTGGCATTGAAGAATTCAGAGTTTATAGCTTCATCTATTTTGTATGAAAATGTTCTTAAACAATATGGCTTTACAGCTGCACTGACTTTCAGAAAAAATCAAAATTTAGAAAAAAAGAAAGAGAAATGAACTAAGCGAAACATGTATTTTGCAAATTTTGGCTGATTTTGCTAGGTTTTTTTCCTACCCGGTTATTATTAATGGCATAGGTGCTGTTTTTTTGGTTTTATTTTCATATTTGGCATATCTTATGTAATTTGTGATGATTGTTAGTGTCTAATAATTGCTAGTTTGAATTATTTTATCTGTCCATTTGGCAATAATGGTGTGTTATTTCTAAAGTTAGGGCTTCATATATAACATATGAAAGAGAAGAGAGATGATGATAATATTTTAACAAAGTCTAGGGAAACAATAAACTGGTATGAAAATGTCAATTTTATGATTAAAGTGTGTAAAGCTATATGCATATATCTACTGTTTGTTGTTCACAAAATTCTTGTGTGAATCTTGAAATAAGAATGCTTCAAAAATACTTGTAAGAAAAAAAAAAGAAATATGTTTTGAATATATGGTGAAGAGGAATGAGCAGACTTTAACAATTAAAACCCTACTAGAATAGCAGTGTTATACTTTGTACCGCAACATTTTATTCTGTTTACATACAATAATCATGAGAGACATTCTATGTTAATACAACTTTTTGCAGAATATAATATTAGATTATGGAAGCAACAGAATTTTACTGTTTATAAATTTCATTAAAAACATTTCGCTAGGTATGGCTGTACTCCCTTTAACTATTCTTTAATTTCTTGTTATTGTAATAACTGTACTTATGTTGCATGTTGATCATGTGTGATTTATTTATTGAAGTTACATTCCTCCCTCAAGCACACGCACCCGAGTCTTGTCAAATCTTAACCCTCAAGTAATCATGGACCTTATATGACCTAAAACAATCCCTCAAGTAATCATGGACCTTATATGATCTAAAACAATCATATTTGTTGTGTACATCTACCTCTCTAATCCCATACAATGTAACATTCTATATTTTTACAATGTCATACACACTAAATGCAAAAAGATATATAAATCATAAAAAATATATACTATTTATCAATTAATACATCAATAAGCTAATAAAATCCAAATATTCTCAATCAAATATCATGTAAGGTTGTAAGCTTGAAATTTATGGTTTACAGCACTTGGATTTTCTTCTGCAAGCACTGGGTATTACCTCATAAAATCTAAAAAAAGTTCACTTACTGTCATAATGGGTGCTAGTTTTATATACTGGGTACATATATTATAATGTAAATATGCTTTAATTTTGAATTTTTCTATATACTTTTTGAACGTTTAAGTTTTTTTTAAAGGCCCATTTAGCCTTAAGAAAGTTTCTGTTTTTAAAAGCTTTTTACTTTAGTTTCCTGTTAAAGATTCTTAAAGGTCAATTATGCCTCAGAAATGGTATGATTTTTATTTCTGAAAAACTTTTATTTTTGGGTTTTTGATAAATGAAATAAATACTCATTTGCCATATAGATGAACTATCTTTTGCTTTCCTTGCTCTCTTGATGATTGGTATAATTATAGCGAATTAGCATTTTGTATGGAAGACAAAATACTATTTTGTTTACATTTTGCTATCTTTATGACACATAACTTCACGTTCAGCGCTACTTTCTTTAGTTGCTAAACATCTTACATGCTTTAAATCTATTACTTAATCATTATTAAACAAAAGTTTGTGGCATTTCTGAACAATAAAACAAATATGGATTTCTGAGGCATAATGTGCCTTTAAATTTACTCATTGCCCATATAACAGACCTTATTTTGTCTTGTAGCATTTTTTAAGAAAGTAAAAATACAACTTTGTTTACATTGGTACTAACTCTTGTCACAAATTATTTCACATTCAGAGCTATTTTCTTCCAGTGAGGATCATCACACATATTGTAATCCATTATTACAACGCTGTAAAACATGCTTACTCTCTTTAAGGAAAAAAAAATGTGGTTAAATGTGCCTTTAATGAAAGTATGCCATAGATATGACTCAAATCAATGATAATTCAGTAAAAATAACTTTTTTCTAATCAGTTCGACTAAGTTTTATTTTTGATATTTTTCATGCAAGCCCTTGCAAAATTTTGCAAGAATGCATTGAAAAATCTGTTGGTATTTTTAGCTCAACTAGTTGAGGAATACAAATTTGAATACCTGTGTGTCAGGCTTGAAGTTCACTGATTGAAAGACACTTTTAAAGACCCATAACTCTGCCATGGAATTTGATGGAGTTAAGCCCTTTGTAAATTCTTGGTATTAAATTACAGGTTAGCTTTCAGTAGGATAACTGTTGATATCCCTGTAAAGGATTATGAATGAATATTTTCCATGTTAATCCAGGCTCAACCACTGAGAATAGTTGGAGTATGCTGTCCTTATGGTAGCTTTTGTTTGATGGTACATAATTCTATGAGTGCAAAATTTGAGCAAACGTTAGCTACACTCGAGAGGGCATCATGAAAATCTCTAGCAATCCTTTTTGGTAATGAAATTAAAGGATTCCTTTTCATTTATGGGTTCTTTGCTCTATAGTCTTTTATACCTACATACGTTTGTACAAGCATATTACAGTTTATTGAAGGATATATTTTTGCATTTTCATTAATTTTTCTAAAAAAAATTTTTTTGCATCTTAATTAGTTATGAATTTTTATCTAACTATTAACAGTCAACAGTTCAGTTAAATTTTATATATTTCTCTATTTATTGATTTATGGTCACTTCATGTTAATACATCATCCTAGATAATTGTTGATTTTGACAATTCCAATTCTGGAAGTGTTTGAATTTCCTTTAACTTATTTTAAAATCCAGTGCTTCTGTACATGAAAGAAGGTGGAAATAAAATATTCACATTTTCTGTAATTATTAAAACTCCAGTTTTCCCTATACACCGATGTACTTGTGAAGACTTCAGTTT